AAGACCACAACAAACAGCCTGGAAAAATTTCCTATTGTTTCCGTAGTTGAATACAACTACAGCACCTTTGAAAGAGGCTGTTACTGGCAGTTTAACATTACAATAGCACAGACGTGCCTCAGTGCCGTGGTAGGTACCTACCACAGACAACCTGATCAGGAAGAAGCAAAGGCCTTCTTCAGACAGCAGGAAAAAGCCTTATGTGTACAGACCCTAACCCTCAAAGAATCCACTTTATCCACCCTGTTATCTTCTGAAAGTGCAAAAGCAATTCAAGAGATTTCTGCATTGATGAATGCACTTCCTGACACAGGTGATAAACAAGCCATGGAGGGAAGTTGTTCTGCTGGACCTGACCCCTACAAACAAGAAAGAACTGGTCAAGACTGAAGTTCAAGAGCAGTTTTCATTGCAGCAACCATGAGAAGGAGAAACTCAAGATCCTGAGACAACAGAACAAAGCAAAAGTCAAGATCACAATCCTAGACTTCAATAGAGCGGATTTTGTCCTTTTCAGGCACCTGATTGGATGAATCCCATGGTAGATGACTCTGGAAGGAAGAGAGGTCCAGAAGAACTGGATAATTTTCAAGGATCACCTCATCCAAGCTCAGGATTTGGCCACCCTGATCAACAGAAAATCATGCAAAGGCAGTCAAAGGCATGTATGGATGAACAAGGAGCATATCTGACAAAACTCAGACATGAAAGAATATATATAGATGGAAGAAACAGAGAGGTGTCCAGGAGGAACATGGAGACTATTAAGCATGTAGTGATGGTGTCAGGAAAGGCAAAGCCCATGTGCAATTGAATCTGGTGACAGACATAGAAGGTAACAAGAAAGGCTGCTACAGATACATTTGCTGCAAAAGGAGAAGCTTTGGTCATGCTACTGAGCGGGGAAGGGGAGATGGTGACAAAGGATACAAGACCAAGGTGCCCAGTACTTTCTTTGCCTTAGCCTTTACTGGACCTTTAGGATTCCCAAGCCCCTAAAATAGGTGGAAAAGAAATATTTGGCCTTGGTGGAGGAGGGAGCATTTAAACAAACTGGACATGGCACCCCCTTCTCCCTTCCCAAATTAAAGTCTGCTGGACTTGATGAGATATAGCCATGAATGCTGAGGGAACTGGCCAATATCATTGTGTGGCCACTCTCAATGCTCTGAAGAATCACAGCAATTAGGAAAGCTTCTTGAGAGCTGTAAGAAAGGATGTAGTTCCTATCTTCAAGAAAGAAGACCCAACAAATTGCAAGCCAGTCAGCCTCACCTTGACACCAGAAAGGATGATTAATCAGATCCTTCTGGAAAGAACTCACAAACTCACGAATGAAAATTATTTGGAGTAGCCAGAATAGATTTGTGAAGAGGAAAATTGTGCTTAAACAACCTGGCAGCCTTCTATGAAGAGATGACCATTTTGGAGGATGAGTGTATAGGCTTTAAGTAAGGCTTTTGACATTGTCTCCCATATCATCATCTCAGACAAAGAGATGAAGAATTGATTGAAGTGAATTGACTGATTGGTTCAAGTGAACAGTGAGATGCATCAAAAACCAAGCAAGCTCAGTGAAGGTGAATAATCACCACAAAAATGAACAATCGATGAGAGGATCTGACCTTAAAAAAAAAGATTCTGAGAAAGCTGGATTTGTTCCCCCTGAAGAAAAGACAGGGGACAGGGAAGGAATGGAGAGTATTTTATTAACATGTATAAATATGTGGAGGAAGTAGAGATGACAGAGCCAGACTCTTTGCAGAGGTATCCAGTGAAGTGACAGGCAGTGGACACAAAACAGAGCACAGGTAATTTTATTTAAACATGAGAATTTTCTTTTGCATGTAGTGTGAACACTAGAACAGGGTCCCAGAGAGCTTGTAGAGTCCATTCAAGGCACAGAAGATCAAACTAGAGGATCTGCAGAAGTGCCTTCCAGCATCAGCTTTCTATGTTGCTATGAGCACTTATTGACTTGAGAAGAGTAGCACTAGAGCAACAAATATAAAATTTCCAGTGATAAAGCAGGTTTGTTGCTTTCCTCACTGTGACCATTCAACATAGTTTTAATTCAGTTTCTAAATGGTATCACGAGTTATTACTGCCATTATTTATAAAAACTTGATATTTCACTGAGGATCCAATAAATTCATATCTTCTATGGACAGTGGTTGAGCCTGCAATGTATGCTTGCCATGAGATTATACACAGAGCATCCACCTTTTTTATTATTCGCATTTGCACCAGTGTACATAGTATCAGCAGAAGTTATGTGTCTTTGGAAACTGTATAAGAGTTAATAGTAAGCCTAGGTCCTGCCATTTTCAGTTTTGCCATGCAGTTCTGTTTGTGTATCATCATTTCCACTACATATCTCCTCTACTTTCCCAGGAGCCCCGTGCAATGTTTGAATTAGAGCATACAAATTCACTTGAAAGGGTAAAACAGCTCAAAGCACTATTACAGGCTAGCTTTCTGAATGCTGTAATTTCAAAGTACTGTGAGCTGTATTGCACATATACTCATTATTTTAGGAAGATGTGACAAAGACTTTTGCTGCCAACTGCATCTTCAAGGAGGTTAAGATAGAATATTAACACTTTGACCTAGACTAGACCACAAAGCACATTACCCTCAAGTATGTTGGAGCCTCTAATAAACACAGGTGGTCAAACCGCCAAGAAAAGGCAGTTTGCCAAAAATAACCACGTAAGGAAAACTGCATCCCATAAGTCTAAGCAATGACTGCTGCAGGAGTTTGAAATCCTCTTAAGGAAATTTTCATCCACTAACCTGCTTGCCTTGTGGTAGGACAAACTGGGTCCATAGCTTTGGGATGTTCCCCATCCAAGGGAAAACCCCTGATGGTAGCAACTCTGAGTAATGCAGGTGACAATTCCAGAGCAGAGCTGACACACAGCAATCTAGGGCCAAGATGTGCCTCAGAAGCACCTGCTGTATCCAACAATCCCATTAATTTATACCCCCCAAAAATTTAAAGAACTTGTCCATAAACAGGAAGATCAGATCTCAGAAAAAATGATAAATGCAGTTTTTATGATGCATTTTACCACCATTTCATTTGTCCATACCATACACAGGACAGAAGAAAGCAGAAGGCCAACATAGTCTAAAGCAGGTTATTTAGAGGAACATCCTTTAAGCAGATGTGAGCCACTGCATTACTTGAGTCAAATTCACTCCTTAAGTCATGCTTCAATGTCTCAAACAAAAAGAAAAACTACTTTGGGGTTGAGCACAGTACAGCTATCAGTCACTAGAACAGCAGACTGTTCCTTCTTGCAACACCACTACAGTAGGACACCAGCTTCATAGAAATGGAAGAGGCTTACAGACTAAGCCAGTAAAGGGCTGAAACAGCATGACAGCAGCAGAGTAAGGGGGAAAGTCAGATTTTCTTGTCGTATTTTTCTGTAGTACTGTGTAATGAAGCAGTGTGGAAAGTGAAGGGTGAGGGTACTTCTACATTGGACAGTGATATTTGTTAGTGGTCACTGTGTACATGTTTTATAATGCACAAGTGAAGTAGGCTTTTCAGTCAGACATAAGTATGTGCTCCCATTCATCATACAGGCATTGCAATCACCTTACTGAGTAGCAGACACCAGAAAGAAACACCATTACAGACATCGAATTGCAAATTGTAATACATCAGAAAATAAGAACACAGGCTTAACATTTCTATACAAGTAGGCATTACATGCCATTTTTTTCTGTCAAATTTAAACTTCAGAATTATAAGAAGCATCCCTAATGAAAATTAACTAGCTTAAATTAATTTGGGAAATGAAGGGTGGCTTCATAAAAAAGTCCTCCTAAAACCCACAAACCAGAAATTTGATCTTCAGCCATATCCTCAAAAAAAGTCATGAGCCAAGTTACCTGACCCTAATTTCATTCCCAAGATTTTTGAAAAGTAATTTACTGCTCTTCTTAAGAAATGGAAAAGGAGGGGGAAAAACACATTGGGAAATTGCATTCACATCAGAGATCAAAACTAAGACTTATTGCTCCTTTCTATCATTAAGGGGTTAAAACTATGCCTTTAGCATAGTGGAAATTAACAAAAACACATCCTTGCACTGAAAATCAAACATCAAAGGTAAGTTTTGTATTTCCAGGAGTAAGAGATACTGGGAAGTTTATCTTCAAAAGGTGGCTTCTTAGACAAGCATCTTTGCAGCCTCCCTTCATTCTTGAAGGGATTCAGTCTCTTTCACTTTTTGACATCTGCAAATGACAAATGATCTTTCAAGAACACCTTGGTTTACTCTACACAAACCAGGAGCACCTTGCACTAACACCTGGGGCCACTGGCAGCCAGTTTTCCAGTCAAGCTTTGCCCTCAACTAACCATAAAAGTGGATGTTGATTTGTTCTCACCTGCTTTGTATCTTCATATCACCTTCTATGTTTAAATTGGACATTTAAACACTTTGAGGTAAGACTTACCTTTTCCTGTAGGTTTGGGTTTGATTTTTTAATCAGCACAATAGCACAGTGCTACAGTAATATAAACAACAGATTAACTTGAAACAAATTGTTAGCTCAGTCTTCCTCTGGTGAAGAGCCAGCCTAGTGGACAAAAAGTAATGACTTCTATTTAACGGTCCTTGGAATTAATTTATCAGGCAAAATTTACAATACACAAATATTGTTTATACGACAGCTATTCTTTTTGAGGTTATTACAAAATCTTCTCTGCAGGAAAACCATATGCCTCAAGAAGTTGTGTGCTCTTTCTTGGAAAAAGCACACAGACAATACCTGTAAACCAAAATTCCCTAACCTCCAGTTCAACATATCTTTTTTTTCCACTTGACCTTTTAGTAAGAGATCAAAAATGGGTTGGGTTCACATCTTCATAGGTAGAAGCCTGTGGAGAAACAGTATCAGAGACATTTTGCTTCCATGAAGGCAGAAGAAGATATCATAATTCCTTAACATTTGTGTGATCCATAAATAAGCAGATTTACCTCTTTTACAGGTTCTTCATCTGGGGCAGCATCTTCCACCACAGTCTAGTGAACAGAGAGGAGAAAAGAGAGGAAAAGTTATATAAATATATGTTATCAAGAAAGGCAATTCTAAGCCAAAATATAGCACAAAATTCACCTTAGTTTTAGGCAGTTAATTTGCTTTCAATTTATACTACTTTAGAAGGCACGTTTAATTCTTCACACTTAGCACAGATAAATTAAACTTTGAATCCATGGAGACTTGCTTTCACCAAGATATATAAAATGCTAAGAGAAGAAAGCAAGAGCATACTGGTACTATTAAAATTGCTGATGAATAGTTAAAGACACGTTTGCCACAGAATGAATAAAGAACAAAACAAGATTATTCATGAAAAAATTAGAGAACTGGAACTGCATTTCTTGCTGAGAAAAGAGAATATATGTGTATATATAGGACAAAATTTTCTAAACACTCAACTTCCATTCCAATATTGAGCTCAGCTGAAATCTATTAAGTGAGGAACCCTTTGGAAAATAGGTAGAAAGATTCCATATAGCTTGATCACACAGCCTTTCCTCAGGAAAAATATTCCCAAGGCTGTAATTCACTATCCCATCTGTCCAGTTTGAGTGGGATCAATAACTTTGCCTACTCACAAAGAAATTCTAGACCCAGCAAATATCCCAATTTTCTTGCTTACTTGTCAAACACAATTAATGACCTCCTGAGTCAACAGGTGAAGGAAGCAGAATTTAACTCTAATCTTCCTTTATACAAACATAATATAGAACATGCTCTCAATGCACTCTTCCTTATCAAGTGATTGATTTACTATAAAAGCTGTCTTTAGTATCTGCAAGTCATTTACCTGAGTCATGCACAGGCACTCATAAATGCCTCTGTTTTAAAAGGGTTTTTGGCATTAAGGAAGAGAAGGAGAAAGAGGTCCATATGCATCAAAGAATTAAACTGCCTCCCTTCTTGTCTACTAACTGTGAAAAGCTTCCGTGAAAAAGAACAACTTGCAGACAATCATGAAAACAATTTATCCCACACAGATGCAGAGACCATGACAGCTCCCTTGAATCAGTGCAACCACTAGTGTTTAAGCTGCATTCAGCTCATTACAGAGTAAATGTTTCTGCTGTTTGAAAGTGTCTTCATGGAGAAGAGCCCACAAGAAACAAAATTAATTTCTATGTACCTTTCCTAGATTTGAGCAAATGGTACTTCAGGAATTCTATCTACAGCATAATCTAAAATGATTATAAGTTATAGTGTATCTTTAATGTGCTTAGAGACAGCAATAAATAGAGCTAATAAATGGTGCTATCTTTTGTTCTCATCTAAAACACAGGAGTTCATGACTGCAATTCGTTAACCCTCTGTAAACTTTTCATAAGTGAAATCTCTGCAAGAGAGTTCTGCAATAGAGCAGTGTAGCTCAACTACAGTATTCTTTAAAGTAGGAAACAAACTAAAAAAAAAAAGGAAAAAAAAAAGCGCCACCATAACCTACAAACCCAAACCTCTGAACAACTAGCATTGCAATGGGGCAGTTACACCTGGTAAGGAGATCCACATAGTTTCTTCTGGAAGAAAGGTCTAAACAGTCCTCTACCAACAAAAGAGGTGACAATACAAGGGTGTCCCAAGCTATGTATATTGGGGCTTTAGTGCAGGACTTACTCTATGATCTAAGGAAGTTTTTCCCAGAAGTTGATGGCAGAAAAAGCAATCTAAGCAATAAATGAAGTGCTTTCTGCCTGGGCCAGAAAGAAAAACACTGGGAACACACAAAACAAACTGATTTTAGGGAGAAGGGATGGAAGAAGAAAAAGAACAAGCATGTATATGTGCTTTGAATACTGTAGTCAGTGGAAAGGAAGACTTGGAGGGAAGCACCATTTTTACGATGTTCAGCAGAAAACTGTTCACCATAAGTACAGTTATACAAATCTTCGTTCTCATTGTTAGAGCTATTTAACAAGGTATCAACTGATTTCTCAAACAAAATCAGGATACACTGTTTCCCAGCTATAATCTGTTTATTAGTAGTCAGATTCCCTGCATCACACAAAGGGGAACAAGTGTCAGTATGCAGAAGTGAATTACACCATTTAAACCTCTGCAAGCCCCTCACAACTTATCCTTCACCTAGGGACTCCAGAATGAGCTGTGCTGTGATAATACATTACAGTACCACTTCTGTTGTATTGTTTACATGTTTAAACTAAAACCTTATGTGAAACCTTTTCCAGGTCAGCAACTCCTTTTTTGAGAGAGATGTTTTGTATTCCCCGTATCCTGGCTGGTTGAGTTGCACTCCTTTCTGCCCTTCTCACCAAACCCCTGTTACAACACTTCAATCAAAGAATGGGGCAGGGTGTTAAATAAACACAAAACCCCTACACCTCTCAAGTTTCACTCATCTATTTCTACCATCTGTTACAAATATGTATGCTGTGCTGTAAACAACTGTCCTGAAATACTTTGTTTTTACTGCACTACTCAAAGAGTCCCAGAAACAGTCAGGAATCCACCTGTCCCATTACTGTACAAAAATCACAGAATAAACTGAAATGGAAGATACCCACAAGGATCACTGAGTCCAGCTCCTGTCTCTGCACAAGAAACCCCAAGAATCACACCATGTGCCCGAGAGCATTCTCCAAACACTTCTTGAACTTGAATGATCCCTTTCTTAACACAACACAACCTTAAATTGCAGGTAACGAAAACGCTACAAGACAAATCGTGAGTACATACAACACAGCAGTCAAGTAGTTATCACAGCACTGGGTTTCCAGTATTATCCTGAAAGCACAGTCCTGTGCTTAGAGGTAACGGGAAAACAGGTAATCAGAACCCAGGTGAAGTCTACGGACTTAGGCGAGCCTCAAATTGCAGATGACATAATTCATGTGTAAATGTGAGCCTGAGCCCGACTCAGCCCGCTTTCCTGGTACCCGTTGTATACGCTCTTTCCCTTTCAGCCGCCCCAGTCCCCCGGGGCAGGTTCCGACTTGAGCCCGGTGCGGGCGGGAGGACAGGACAGGACATTCCGCACCACCGAGGCACCGTGCAACGCGCTCCAAACCGCCCCGCGTGTGGGGCAACAGGTTCCCGAGCCAAGCCTCGCTTCCCGCTCTCAGCAGGGAGCGGACAGAACGAGGGATCCTCATCACACCCCATTTCGGGAGGTTTCGGGCAGCACCGAGGTGGTTCACCCGGCGGGAAAGCGGGGCCGGCAGTACCGCCGATGCCGCTCACCTCCGTCTCCATGGGCTCCAACTCTATCCCTTTCCATAGCTCCAGCAAGTGGGCGATCGGCATGCTGGGCGATGCGTGCCAGAAGACGGGATCAAGCAGAAGGAGCGCGCGTCGGCCGCCGATGCAAGCGGGAGAGGAGAAAGGAAGGTGTCAGCGGAGGACGGGACACCGTGCGGAGCGCGGCCCGGGACCCTCCGCCCACCCGCCCGGCAATATGGCTCCCCGCCTGCCCGCCGCACCCCGGGGAGCCCCGCGGGCGGGGCGCGGGCGCTCGGCAGGCGCGGAGGCAGGACAAGGCAGCGGCCGCCGCTTCGCAGCCGCCGAAGGATCCCCGCCGCCCCGTCCCGTCTCTCCTGGCCGCCGCCACCGCCTCGGCTCGCTTTTATGCCAGCGGGAAAGTTGATCCAGAGGATGCGGCGGCGGGCGCTGCCATGGTAACGGCAGCGCGGCCCCCCCGCGCCGGGCACGGCCCCGCCGGGGCCCCCCCGCCACCCGCACCGCCTGGCTGAGCCCCGCCGGCCGTCCCGCAGCACCCCGAGGATGTGCCCGGGAGGGGAGAAGGGCGCCACGTCTGAACTGGGGCTGAAGCAGGCAATAGAAAAATTAGGCAGTTTTTTCCACAATTCAGAACGTTGGTATCTTGATAGCAAGTGCAGCTAACAGAAGGGTATTCTAAGGTTTGCCAAGCCCGATATTATTCCAGTCTTAAAAATAATTATCTTGCTTTTAATTTCCTTTATTATTCTATCTCTGAACTATGAAGCCTGTAGTGAAGTCTGTCTATTCAGATGCCATTTCCTCCTTCTGCTCTCACAGCCTATTACACCCTTACTATATAACAAGCATGGCACATGTCCAGCTCTAGAGACCATGATTTATGCAGATGTTGATTTGAATTCTCCTCGAATTGAGGTCAAAGCATGCGTGTTAACTTGTTCAGGCAGCTTTATTGTCATGGTCCAAAAGGTTTTACTGTTAAATAAGTCACTGCTCTTCAAAGAGCCATTTTGGAACAAATAGTCAACATGCAGGGTGAATTTTTCTTCTATTCCATGCTCAAAAAGCCACAGCTTATTTTCATAAGCAGTGCTGTACAAATTCAGAACAAGTTTTAGTGAATGATGAAAATTCTTCTGTCGGTCTACGAAGGAACATTTGAGCAGTGTTCCTCCTCCAGTCCCATCCAGCTCCCCCAAACTCTATTCAACATGAATAAGTCCAAATGCCAAACACTGTTAGGAGAATCAAATTCACTAACCACAATAAAGGAAAAAAAAAGAAAAAAAATCAGACCTTAGCCAGAGACACAAATAGATACCGCTGCAATAACTCGGTCTTTTAATTGTGTTGAATATGAACAGTTTTTTTTCCTTCTGTGACAGCACTAAAGTAACAACTCGTAACACCAATTATGCAGCTTCATCTGCTTTACAGATTGAGCAATTAAGTATCTAGATTATTGCCTTTACTCATGGCTCACCAAAAAAGTGTAGTGGGAGTGATGTCAATCACATAACAGACACGTAACTGAAATCAGAAGCCACAGAACCTGGCTGTTACATACTCCCTGGCTCTTGTGTTCTGTCCCTGCTTCTTCCCCTGCAGCAACATGAGACATAGTTACTACCTTTAACTTGATGTACACGCTCTCCCAAACAGCCTCATAGCACCAATAAGTGTGAGGACAGAGCCAGGACCAAGTGCATCAAATTCAGAGCACAAACCACACTTATTTTACAAAACCCAGAGACCTTTATGAAACAGACATGTGGTCCCAGAGAAGACACAAGAAGATTGTACGTGATTATATCACATCATCTTGATTTTTAAAAAAATATTTAGCTCTGATTTACGGGACTGTATTTTATCCTCTGAGATACAAGTCTTGGGTGCCATAGGCTGAGAGAAAGACCAAAGTGTCTGTGACAGCAGGAACTGGGGAAATGGGATATGTCAAGATAATCTTGAGGGAAGCAAATCCAAGGTTTGAGATCATTGCACCTGCAATCAAGTTAAAAATATGTGCAGGTAGATCTAATCTTTTTACACCTTTTCCGAGAACTTCACTTAATTCTTGAGACATACAATTACATGCTTCCTTAAGTAAGTATTAATCTATCACCAAACTGGAATATCAAAAGCCACCAGTATATTTCCAGATCTGTTTGGTCAGTCTAAACATGCATAAATTAGAAACAGAGGAAACCAAGCAATGAAATCTTGTTATTGCTTTAGCATATATTCTTCTGTTATAAGCATGATGCATCTATCCTGCAGTGAACTCATTGCACTCTTTCAGCACCAAGATATGAATTGGACCCAAATTAAATGTTCAAGTTTATTGGACTAACCAAAGCATGCATTTCGTACTCCATTTCTTAACCCTACATAAAGAAAAGCAGAAGTTTTCAACCTCAGCTCAAAATAAATAATGTGGGATTTGGTAATTCCCCCCCTCCCCCTTTTTTTGCTGCATTTACTCAGTGATCCCACTGAACTCTCCGGAGCAATGTTTGACTAGAGATTTTGCAAGAATAGGGTCTCCTTCATTAATAAGGATACCTGATTTTCTTCTTCATGATTTGTGTACTCTGCCATAATTCTCATATGTGAAAAAGCATCTTTACTTGTCCACAAGCTTCAGATTCCTAAGTATTTGGCAAACTAAGCTCCTCATATTAAAACCAGACACATTTGTTGTTATTAAGCAGAATCTGAAACAAAAGATAATCATGTAATGCTAGAAATAATTGTGTCACTACGGAGTGACCAGTCATTTTCGTTATAGTAACATCTAATGGACAACCAGGACTGACATTCTTTTATATGAACAGAATAGCAGAAAAAGCCATGCTTCACTCCACACCCCCACAACTCCCCCCAATCCACTTAAAGATATTGTGTCAGAAAAAGACTGAATATCACAAAATTGTGAATAGTCCACTTCTAAAAATACCACATTAGGAGTGGAATAAATAAATAGAAGGGAAAGAGGGGATGGCATATGTGGGACATAGAGGCAAATAACACACAATGAAGCAAACCGAAGTTCAAAGCACTTTGTCTCTGAGGACACACAAGAAATCTGGTCAGAGCAGGAAGTAGTTACAGATTTTTTTCCTAAGAGAGTTAGCAACTTTCAAAATTTAGCAGAAGTAATATTGGCAGATATGCTAACTAGGCCAAGAATTGCAAAAAAATTAATTCTACTTGCATCAAGAATGCAAAAAGCATTTTTATCTACTGTGCAACAAAACAGTGGACTACTTGCATGGTGATTTTTAATCTATTTTTACCTGTCTCCTGAGGGGTAGATAATGGTTGTAATGGCTGCTGCCAGACACAGAGTGAGGGATCAGAGACATTAATATTCTTCTGAGTTATAGTAACTCCTACTCTAGCAGGGGATACCCAAGTACAGAAGCAAATTTAAGGACATTGTGTATAAATTACATTTTAAAATACTTTAATAACTTCCACGTCAACTGCTTTGTGAAAAAGTGAAGTACTACTTCCCCATTTGATGCACAAAAGGGAAGAGGCACAAAGAAATATTATTTTCTGTCAGTAGGTCAACACACCTCTAGGTCCATTACTTCAGTGTTCAGTTTAATGTAATCACCTCATGCCAAAACTCACGCATTCATCAGCGCACGTCTTCATTCAAAGCTTGAGCTAGATAACTTTCTGCCTGGCCAATGGCCAAAACATGTACTACTGACACAGAATTCAGAAAAAAAATCCTCTGTCCTTCAAGAGCATTCCCAAGGTCCCACTCTGCACTTAAATTCCTCCTCCTGGTTGCTGCAGTGCAAATGTCACCTGGCCACACTGCCAGACCAGCATCATCTGCCCAACAGTTTTTTTTCTTTTTCCTTTTCTAAATTTCAATCAAGCCTCCTTCCCTGCACATAATTTTTTGGGACAAGGCTGACACTTGCCTATCTGTTCAGATGTAGCACTACACAAGCAAAATGTAAGCTTCGTATTTGGTACGTCCCAGGCAAACAAGAGCTACATGCAACATTGTTTAAAGGGTGGAATCCACAAAGTGCCAGCACTGAGAAGAGATCAGGTCTCTTAAGTATCAATACCATTGGTAAAAGGGGGAGGAAAAAAACTTGCTAGCAGCAAAAGAATAACACTCCCCTGTCCCTTTTAGATGCTGCACTACAGAACATCTATCCATTTGAGTGCATTACCTATTTGGTGTCAGGTTTGGCTGTTTAAGGACTCTTGGAAAGCCTTGAATGCTCAAGTACAAAAGGCCCGACCACTGATCATCCCTTAATGTCCAAAGCAATCAGACTGCACAATGTGTGCTGAAGATCCCCCAAAAGTTACTTCAGAGAAGAACAAAATAGGAGCAGAGCATTAGCAACATTTCCTGCAGATTACTTCAGTCTCCCCAAGGAACAAAAAAGGAGTTTCTTTGGTCCTTTTGAGTGGTTCCTGCTAAGTGCTGCAGCCAAAGAGGATGGACCTCTTGGGGCAGAAAGAACTCTGCCCTGCAGCTCATAAACATACAGATTTCAAGCAAGCACCCAACTTTTAACCTCTTTATTTTGTTGAATGTTTGTACCTATGGAATAAGCGCATGTGTATTTTCCTCTACAACTTACAGGCAGATCTGGGAGGAGCAGAATCATTAAGGTTGGAAAGACCTCTGAGATAAAGTCCAACCTTTGACCAAACATCACCTTGTCAACTAGACCATCCCACTAAGTGACATGTCTAGTCTTTTCTTAAAGACCTTCAGGAATGGAGCCTCCACCACCTCCCTGGGCAGTCTTCTCCAATGTTTAATCACCCTTTTGTGAAGAAATTACTCTTAACGTCCAAAACACAGACAGACTGAGGCACACTAAAAGAACACTTCAAAATATATCATTTGGCAGTACGTGGTTGGCATAAATGGAAGAAAACACCATAGAAATCCTGCTGATAGATGGAGACTATCTAGATAGAGACCCTTCCATCTAGATAGAGACCCTTCAGCTAAAGGATTTGTCATCCCTGTGATGAAGAAAACACTGCTAGCAACACACAGTGGCAGATGGCAACATGTACACAGAATCTCAACAGCAAGTGGTGAGGTCTGAGCACATCCCAGACCACTATCATCACATGCAGATCCATCAACAGCCACTCTAATTTACCATAAAATGTAGCCTTATGGCAAAGAAGTAGAAAGCATGTTCATAGTCCCATATTAGCCTCAATCTGTCACTACACCATCCCAAATATGGAAGAAACATGCTGTGCATGACTAGTTTCCTATAATCTGTGCAATCAAGCTTGTATTAGATGGATGAAATCTGTAGTGAATGGGTACATATCAAATGCTAGAAGTAAC